GGTCTGTGCACCTTTACCGATCAGAGCGCGCGCTGACACGGAGTAAACCCTTGTTTATACTCGACGCATCCGCACGATCGCGAAGGTGCGCGCGGCAAAAATGACGCGTTCGGTGCGCAAGACCGGCAAGACCCCATTTGGCTTGGCTGTGTGTTTATATCTATGGGCTGTGTGCACGGCTTTTTTTTGTAACAGCGCGCGCGGCGCCGCGTCCGCATCATAGACTTCAAGCCGAATCTGCCCGAGCATGCACGTCTCACCGCACCGGCACGCAGTTTGCGCGTCTAAATTGCAAAGTTCATTCCAAAGTTTTTTCGTTAAGGTTTTGTTACTGTGTGTGACTTATTAAAAAAAAAAGCACGTTCATTGCAACGTTTGTTTGTTTTGTTAGTTAGGGATTTGTTTACTGTGTGATACATTTAATGGAAAGCACATTCACTTCTAGTTGTCTTGCTGTTCATGTTAAATAAACGTAGAGCCAGTAGCTAATCAGTGTCTGCTTGTTTATTCAAACTAAGTTGTCCTATAACAGACGAACAGTTAACCCCCCCCCCCCCCCCCCCCCCACCGACGACGGTTATGTTATGAACCGTCACATTTGACTCACGTCATAACCGTCATTACCAATTCTGAAACCGGCACACCCCTACGCGTATGTCCATTTTGCCGATTTTGAGATTTTTCGACGGATAGAAAGTCCAGGTTCATTTCCGTATACAGTATGCTTCACATTATCTAAATGACCAATGAAAAGTTGTGAAATCATGTCATCTGATTTCCACGTATATCCATTTGCTGTCAAAGTTGTCAATCACGCCGCGTATCTCCCGCCCTGTGGAGGCGCCTCGCCGGTCTCGTGAAGTTTCATCTTAAGCGTCTCTGGAAGCTCAGCATTGGATAGCCGAATAACACTGTGAGGTAAACAGCAAACGTTTGTTTTTGACCACTGTTCTCAAGTTTATTATATATTCACAACTGTTATTTACCGGTAAATGGTCTAGAGATGAAGTAATTGTCAACAGGTTCTTCACACCCTGCTGAAAAATCCAGCTAAAACCAGCCTAAGCTGGTTGGCTGGTCTTAGCTGGTTTAAGCTGGAAGTAGCTGGTTTTAGCTGGTCTCCCAGCCTGGCTTGGCTGGTCAAGCTGGACTTCCAGCCTGGCTTAGCTGGTCTCCCAGCCTGGCTTAGCTGGTCAAGCTGGTCTCCCAGCCTGGTCAAGTTGGTGGTCAGCTGGTCAAGCTGGTCTCCCAGCCTGATTTAGCTGGTCTCCCAGCCTGGCTTAGATGGTCAAGCTGGTCTCCCAGCCTGATTTAGCTGGTCTCCCAGCCTGGCTTAGATGGTCAAGCTGGTCTCCCAGCCTGGCTTAGCTGGTCAAGCTGGTCTCCCAGCCTGGTCAAGTTGGTGGTCAGCTGGTCTCCCAGCCTGACTTAGCTGGTCAAGCTGGTCTCCCAGCCTGGTCAAGTTGGTGGTCAGCTGGTCAAGCTGGTCTCCCAGCCTGATTTAGCTGGTCTCCCAGCCTGGCTTAGATGGTCAAGCTGGTCTCCCAGCCTGGTCAAGCTGTTGAACATCTTACCTAATTACAAATTAATCAGATTTCATAGTCCATATACAGATACGGTTTTAGCATCATAGTTAGGCTGGCTAGATGGTACAGCCTAAATTATTATAGTTGTTAATACAACAGTATATCTGAACAGTATTAAACAAAATTATAATAAAATTATTACATTAAATTATAATAAATTAAGTATTAAAATAAATTATAGCATAAATCTGTAGCATGCCCGGACTCGATTCAGATTAAAATATCGTTTGAACAAACACATTCACCATAGTTGTCTGACCAAGTATAGTCAGCTTTTTTATTTTTAATAAGTGTTTCAGTTGTGAATAGACTTGTTCACAAATTACAAGTGAAACAATGTCTCTATACAATGACCAATTTAATGTCATATGTAATCGCAAAACTAGATAAACTGTACAATATCTTAAGACACCAAACACATGATACACATAATCTGATACAGGTTTATTTTACATTAAGTTCCATTCACAAATTCCACAAACATAAAACTGATTGTGTCATTGAAGACTGCAGTTAGGGGAGAACAACTGACAGTTAGACAGAAACACAGCAGCACTACACCAAAACATCTGCACTGTGGCACACCTACACCCAAAACTTGTGTGTCTCCTTAATACTTTCCACTTTTAAAAACAAATAACATTTTAAATTGTTACAATGTGATTTTCTTTATGTATGTCTGAAAAGTAGTTTGACACTTAAGTTACACTATGAATGCAATATTATATATATATATATATATATATATATATATATATATATAATACAAATAAAATCAAAAGCAAAGTGATGGTATAAAAAATATTGCAAGCACGTTTACAAATAAAAAAAGGTTGTGTTAAATTCTTAAACTAAGTGCCACTTTGTCCCACTATCACCTGCTGCAGGGGTGGCATTTTGCACGTTAATGGGTCATAGAACTATACACAATGAGTTTTAAATTCATGATTTAATATTAATGATATTTTAAATTATGTTATATGTTTTAATTCTAGATGTTTATTTATATGCTGCGTGCCTTTGAAGTGTTTTAATGCGCGTGCGCGTAAACATTCGAGTCGCATTAAAGACTGGAGCGCGCGCGAGTCTAGAGCAGATGGAAACGAGGAAACGTCATCAACTGACAAACAGCAAAACTAGCGTTTCTTGCTGTTGTTTTCACTGCTTTTAGGTAAGTTTAGTAAAAAAAAAATCACACAAATAATACATACAAACGTTCCTGACACCTTTCTTAAGTGTAACTGATACGCTTCTGTTGAATATTTACTTTATAGAAATGGTTTTGTGTCTTCGAAAAAGTCCGTTAGCATCTCAACCGTTTCCAGAAGAGGTAAGTTAAAGGCACACTGTGGAACTTTTCAACCTTTATAATATATTACCAAAACCCATTGAGATGGTACATCGACTTACAATAGGTTGAATGACACGTCTGCCGTAGCCTGAAGGTGTCTGTATCGCTTTTACTAGCACTATGTAACTTCGGGGTTCGGGTAGGAACCCGAGCACAAAAAGAACTACAAAATTCGACCGCTTTACGGCATACGTCACTTCCCCCACCACCCACAACTTCCTCAGATTCTGACGTGAGTGCTCAACTCGCGTTTGATTGCCGTCTGTATGTTTTTGTCATGGCCGAACCAACAGCTACAAGGAAGAAGGCAAAGGTTTTGTCAGAGGACACTAAAAAAAAGAAAAGGGCATAGTGACAAATGAAAAGCCAGGACGAGGATCACCATTGGTCCAGCGTTCGCTCGCTGGCGTGAGCTAACGTTACACGTCTATGGAGCTACAGGAGGAGGATGGGTGCCCGACCGATGCTAACGCTTGCCTGCACACAAATGCCGTTTCCAAGGTGACACAGATAAATCATATAAGCAGTGTAGTATTGTCTGGTATTCCGGCCACAGCCGATGGTGTTATGAGTGTAATAAAATGCCCACAGCCCATTGTTCATTTCTACACACAAACACAGCCCGCCACAGTGCAGGGCTCGAACAAATAAAATCGACTCATGTCAAATGTAGCTGCTACATTAAATGTAGTGAACGTTCCCACGACTCAGTGCCCACAAACACTACAGACAACATGTCCCACGGTTTCTGTAAAACGAAACCAACACACATAGCTTACAGTCAGCTCAGGCCGACGGTGTTTTTAGTGCAGTAAATGTGCCCGCCGTCCCGCGCCCACATTCACTCACAGACATGTTAGCACTAATGGTGTGTTCACACCGAACGCGAATTTAATTATTTCCGCGAGTAGATTACATACAAAGTCAATGCAAAGACGCGAATAGACGCATCATTCGCGCCAGGCGTTGCGAATGACGCGAATTGGGCGACGCGTTTGCCGCGAATGTCTTCCGCGCAAGTTGAAATATTTGAACTCGAGCGAATGTTCAAGCGTCTAACTAGACGCGATAGACGCGTATTTGACGCTCTATTCGCGTTCGGTGTGAACACACCATAAGCCCCACGGGGCTCGCCCCGCTCGCTCTCTCTCAGCAGACTGCTATAAGGGAATCGACCGCGGCCAGGCTGCCCGCCTCAAACACTGCAAGCACACATAATCTAAAGCAGTGGTTCTCAATCCTGGTCCTAGGGAGCCACTGCTCTGCACAGTTTGTATGTCTCCCTCATTTAACACACCTGATTCAGATCATCAGCTCGTTAGGAAAGAGCTTTATTAACTGAAGTGGGTGTGTCAGATAAAGGAGACATATAAAATGTGCAGAGCAGTGGCTCCCTAGGACCAAGATTGAGAACCACTGATCTAAAGACACGGGAAGCTGACCCACTGTCTATAGGCGGACCGGTTGACTTTTGCGACAGTGCTGCGGAGCTTGTGGCCTCTAGGGACGCTAGACGTGAAAGTTACAGGTCGAGCGCCACTAGTGGCCAAAAAGTTCCGCAGTGTGCCTTTAAGGCTAGCTCTACAGACTGGAGCTCTTGTTTATGAAAGTTTGGGGTTTTAACCACATCTTTGTGTAGATAACAGTTTTTGATAATTTTGTTTTGCTTGTAATTTGTTAATTGGTGATTGGAAGTAAGCTAATTTATTTAGCCTAATAGAATGCACTGTGCTGTTAATCAGTGACGTCACTTACAAATATTGATTAAAAAAATGTGATTTCAGGAGCGACAGAAAAAAAAACTACAATAAAGGGTGAATTATTGTTTAATCATCATCATAATAATTTCATATGCATTTATTTCACAATATCTATTATCTTAAGATTATATATATATATATATATATATATATATATATATATATATATATATATATATATTATTCTTTCTCTTTTCTGCATTTCACCTCTGCCTAGCTTGGTTCCTTGTAATAAACCCTATGTTCTATTGTAAATCCTATTTAACATTGTTGGCTCTGTGACTAATTGCATGTTCTGTTCCTAGATCATCATGTTGATGGCCTGCTGCACCCCCTGTCCAAGACAATCTCCACGGCTATGAACCATATGATTAGTAAGCAAAACCTCAAACATACAGTGCTCTACTGTTCAAAAGTTTGTGGTCTGTAAGATTTATGCTTTTGAAAGAAGTCTCACATTTTAGAAATCATTAACCCCAGGTTTTTTCAGTGAAATTGTCCTTGAGAAGCCTGTAGGCTAGATAATCAGCTAATAATAAGTGACAAATATAATGGTCATAGTTATAATAATTCATTTAACTATTATGATAATATCATGGTCATTGGTATGTTTTATTTTATTTCTCTAGGTCTGTCTTGAATTATGTTGGCCAATGAGACAGACACCATACTGTCCAACTCAAAGGTATTTATTTATTCGTATGTATGTTTTATTGATAAATACTGAAATTATTTTTACTTATAAATGCTGAATGTTGGTCAGGGGGTCGACAACTTTAGGCACGTAAGTTATTTTTCACAGATATCTGGCCAGCTTACTCGTGGCTCATACTCTTAGCCTTTAAAATGTTTGAATTTATATCCCCAATGCAATATCAGGGGTAAAGATATCATTAGAGTTTTTAAAGTTATGGCTATGCTCTTGTCACCAGATGAGGTATAATCCCTAGCGTTTGGGCCTGTGATTCTTCAGGACAAGATCTTGATGCCATCCACACTCAGTACATGAAGAAGGTAAGTTTCACAATAGCTGCCACTATCACAAATCAAGAGACCAAACACAACAGGCTTTCATCCGTATGAACTCATCCATATGTAGTATTTTTAATGACTCAGGTAAAGTTGGTCTTATATTCACACATTTAGCCTTTTTTGCTTAAGAACGTTCTCAATAATAAGTGCAATAAAGCACATTTTTGCAAATTAGAAGCAGCTACATGATCTTGACAACAAAGATGGTCAACTACAACATTTTCCACAATCGAAATCAAAATGGGCAAGTATGTTTTAATGGCATACTTACTTGCGAATGTCCACTGAATGTCCAATGTCGTATGGTAAACAAGATAGGGACCGTCTAAAAAGTTTTTTTTTTTTTTCATTGTGTGCAAACAGACAACTACATGTAATTCACCTAAAGTATTTTTTCGTGTTCCAAAGGGTGTAGTGCTTTCCTAATCATCAGACTGACTTACTACAGGTGAAATTTTAACAATACCTCCCTTACTGTACGTACAATAGTCAAATATGTTTATGAAAAAAATACTGTAATTCACCTAAAGTATTTTTTCATGTTCCAAAGGGCGTAGTGCTTTCCTAATGACCACTGTGACTTACTACAGGTGAAATTTTGACAATACCTCCCTTACTGTACGTACAATAGTCAAATATGTTTATGAAAAAAATACTGTAATTCACCTAAAGTATTTTTTCATGTTCCAAAGGGTGTAGTGCTTTCCTAATGACCACTGTGACTTACTACAGGTGAAATTTTTACAATACCTCCCCTACTGTACGTACAATAGTCAAATATGTTTATGTAATAAACATATTATTACATATGTTTATGTAATAAACTCTAATTCACCTATAGTGTTTTTTTATATATATTCCAAAGGCTGTAGTGCTTTCCTAATGACCAGTGTGACTTACTACAGGTGAAATTTCCACAATAACTCGCATACTGTACGTACAATTATCAAATGTTTATTAAAAAAAATTACTGTATTTCCCCTAAAGCATTCTTTTCGTGTTTCAAAGGTTGGAGAATGTTCCTAGTGATCAGACTAACTTACTAAAGGTTAAATATTGCCAATACCTGCCTTACTGTAAGTACAGTACATACACATTTTTTTATGAAATAATTACTGTAATTCACCTTAAGTGTTTTTTCATGTTCTAAAGGTTATAGTATGTTCCTAGTGATCACTCTACTCAATTAATTTTGAAGTAGGTATTAGAACTGCTGTTCCTGGTACAACAGATTTCGTTCATTGATTAAAAACTGTAAAGATTTTAGCCTAATCATATTTTTAACGTTATAAATAAGCAACAATCTTATTGTAATGATTTAAATCTGGAATCCATTGCTGCTTCAATGTATATTTAATGACAAATTTAATCAAGGTATTAATAAATATTTTCCTTCTAAATATCAAATGAGTTGAATGACTTCTCTAGGCTTATGAGATTGTACTTTATAGAAATTACCAGTGTGATTATCGAAAATGTTATTTCATGTATTCTCTAATGTCTGTATTGAATATCTGAGAGGTGCACTGTAAAACCCAACACGTTAAGCTAACTCATTTCAGTTGAGACCGATTACCTCAATTCAATTAAGTTTATAAAAACAATAGTTATGAGTACTCTGAACTTATTTTAATCAAGTCCACTAAAACAAGGATATTTCTTAATACACAATTAAACTTCTGCATTTAAATATCTTTAAATATCTATGTTGAGTAAAAACAGCGAAATTACAAACTTTAAATGAACTTTTAAGTGCTTGTAGTTACTACTAGCTCACAATATCACACACAAAGTCAAATCCTTTATGTTAAGCTAACTCATTACATTTGAGGACACCGATTACCTTAATTTAATTTTAAAAACTAAAAGAAGATATACATTGCAGTCAAGAAGTTAAGCAATTATTTAAGTGACTAATTAAGTGATGATTGAGCATTAGTGATGAACACCTGCTGTTAACAAGCAAAATCACTGAAGGAAAGAAAAACTTGAAATGCAAATGAGCTGCTGCTCCCAGCACAGGGGGCGGAGCCTCCTGAGTTTCTGTCCTTTTACCTCAAACAAACATGCACTGAAAATTTCAAAAACGTTTAGCCTTTTATTGTCAAACCGGAGTCAGACATAGATGGAGTGACACAAGAAGAAGTGACAGAGGTTTAGAAGGACTTCATATCTTGACAGAGGTTATGAAGACTTCAGTTCATAGACTTCATTTCTTGTCATATCAGTTGATTTAGCTTAGACCTTGGTGAACATTTACATTACATTTATTCATTTAGCTGACGCTTTTATCCAAAGCGACTTACCATTGCTATATATGTCAGAGGTCGCACGCCTCCTTGTGAGTCTTGAAGCTAACTTTTGCATGATGAAACTACAAACTATCTTTAGTAAATCTTTCATTAATTTATTATAATTCTGACTCTTGTCTTAAATTGACTGACTAACTCCTGGTTTTAATTAATCATATCTGGTCCTTGGGTCTTTAACTGTATACAGTGGTAATCTACATTGCAACAAGGACAATAAAGCAGAAGTTTCTGCAGATATTATTTAATGACACAAAGTTTAGCCAGTTTATCAAGTATTCTTAATGTAAGACATTACAATTTTAAAAGTGGCGCTAGGTTCCACTGTTTAACTACAGTGAGCACAACCATTGGGCATCTTTTCCAGGTAGCTTGTCTAGTGATAGTCCGAGGCATGGTACCAATATTTTGCACTGTTCACATTGCTTAACATGACTAAGGACTAATTATGTAATAAACCACTAACAGTTATGTGTGTTAACCAATTACATTATGTAATAAATAAATATTAAATAATTTTAATATGTTCAATTGCTTCAATATTTTGGTTTACCCAAAGTAGTCCTGACTGAAAACTGTGCTGAAAACAATATTTTCATTCAAACACACACATTTATTTTTATTCAATTTTTATTTTATCGTCACTTCACTAAAAGAAAATATAGTATAAAGTAAAAATTACGTGACAAAACAATCAGTTAAAGGGTTTATGATAATATAAGAACAACTTAAACCAAGAGAGGATCAACAACAGCAAAATTATGAAGAGGTGATATTGAAATATTACTCTAACCATGAGGAATTAATTACAACTTTTATGTATAATCACAGTTGTATTCCATGGACAATTAGAAAGATAATACAAATAAAAAAGTGTTTACATCAACAGTGACTTTCTACGTTACTTTGGTTGAATTTGAAGTTGAATTTGGAGGGGGGAGAAAGATCATAAAAGTGAATGTCATGTAAGGACAAAGTTTGTTGGCTGGTGGCTATATCAGCACATGTGACTTAATATGTGAAAATATTGACCATGAAGGACAACTACACATACTGTCACATGCCTGTCCTGTCTTGTGATGCACATGGGTGTTTTGTTATTTTGGGCCATGTTAGGGCTGGGCGATATGGAGCAAAAAATATATCTCGATATATTTTGCTATATCTCGATATTCGATATATATCTCGATATCTTTACAGGAAAATGGATGTGAATACAACTCAAAATATAGGCCTACAATCAATAGAAAATTAATTTTCCATAACAGAATGTAACCAAATGAGAAAAATTAAACACAGGGCCTGAATTTCGTCATCATTATTAATCACGTGATTCATATACAGAAACTGAATAAAGTAATCAAATGGAAAATAACACTGAGTAGTATTTTAGTCCTGAATAAATTAAATACATAGGCTATTAATCCTGATTCCTTTAACTTAAAGCTATCTTTTGTTGTATTGACAACAAAATGAATGACACACATATGGCTGCCGTCACTTTAAGAGCTAGTGCACAGATCCTGTGTTCATTATACTGGCATGCGTTTTATGCTTATTAAAGACAAAACCGACTATGTTTAGAGTATACTCACGACGACCGAAATTGACAATTTTGCGTGTTAAAGCAATATAATCCGCGAAAAATAACTTTTGTTACTGGCCAGCTGTTCTTAAGGCGGATTTTCTATGAATGTGCGCATAGAAAATAATCTCTCAGAGAGCGCGCGAGCACTGATTAGTTTAAAATCGCTTGAATGTTTAAACTGGTAAGACTTAAAAAGACGTGCAAATGGTAAACTTCAGTCACGATGCACTGCTGGCCCGATTGTGCGAGTGAATATCCATCATGTCCCGACTCCTAAAGGCGAGTGTGTATTATCGCCGCAGCGCTTGATGCTTGCCTTGCACAACACATTATGAGAGACGAGAAAGAAGCGGCACCGCTGAACACTCACGCTGTTTGTGAAATTGCGTCTGGCAGATAGTTGTTAAAAGAATGATTTGATTTTATAATCTGTGTGGATTACGATTGCGGGAATTTCCCGCATTATAAATGGGAGACCTGCGGGAATGATTAGAATTATGCGCAATACCCGCGCCGAAATTCGAGCCCTGCAATAGTTTAAAACAAGACGTTTGTAGTAGCCTTCTGATTACTGGAGTCCATTAATCGAACTTCCATGCCTCTTATATAGTAATTATATATTGTAGTATGTAGGCTACCAATTTACTAATGCAATTAATGCTCACACTCGGTTTCTCTCGTGCTCTGTCGCTCGCGCGCAGACACACTCGGAGTTCTGTAGCCTCCGGGCTGGTTGCGGATGAGACAATTGTTGAATGAGACAACACGCGAGGTGACTGGTGAGGGGGAACACAATCAAGGAGGCGGGTGCGAGCACAGCACAGAGAAGGCAAACAAGCAAAGTGGCGAAATCAGGATTAAATATAAACAATACATCGATATATACGATATGTCAAAATCCATATCGTGTTTAAAAAATATCTCGATATATTTTAAATATCGAGATATCGCCCACCCCTAGGCCATGTGCTCTTGTCATTGTCTGGTCCCTCCCCCTTGTTATCTGATTATTGGTTCATTTGTCCCACCTGTCCTGTTCATTAGCCTTCTGTGTTTGTTCCCTATAGTCTCTGTTGTGTTTG